ACAACAACAACCTACCCATCATCTACCTACCCACCTACCTATCATCTACTTACCAACATAACCACTGGTTTGAGGGAAGCTGTTGAAGTCTCCAGTCTGATTCTAGGCTGTGATCTAAAAACGCATTTTGCAGATAACTGGTGTAGTGCCTAAGCCATTTGACTGCTAACCACAAGGCTGGCAGTTCAAACCCACCAGCCACTCTTCAGAAGACTGGGCAATCTACTTCTGTAGTGATACCACCTTGGAAACCCAAGGAGGGGTCGATCTAAGTTGGATCCGACTCGGTGGCAGTGAGTTTGCTTTTTGTTTTTTTATATACAATTAGCCCTCTGTATCCGCAGGTTCCACATCTATGGATTCCACCAACCACAGATCAAAAATATTGGGAGAAAAAAAAAATCCAGAAAGTAAAGCTTGAATTTGCCGTGTGCCGAGCGTTGTGCTGAAGCCACGTGAGTGAAGGGATGTGCAGGCACAGCTGGCTGAGTCTCCCGCCATTCCACAGCTCCCCACTCTCTCTCCAGCACTCGGGGTTTGAGCTTTGCGTACACTGCATCTTGTTCGCTCACTACTTGTGTTGAGTGAGCCTTTAGCTCTATGAAAAAATGGCTCCAAAAAAGCAATTCAGTGGTCAAAGCAATCCTTCAAAGGCTAAGAGGGAGCATAGAGTGCTACTGATCCAGTATTTTCACTGTGTTAGTATTATAACTAACCCAGAGAGGATTCAAGGTATACTGGAGGATGTGTGTAGGTTATACATAAATACTACGCCATTTTATACAAGAGACTTGAGCATTCATGGTCCTGGAACCAATCCCTCATAGATACCGAGGGATGATAAAGAACCTTTATTTCTGAATCATGGGGTTAGATGACTTGGGCCTGCAGGTCCAGTGTGGTCCCACAGAGGGCTTTAGAAAATTTCTTAGCCAACCGTCACCAAACAACCAACCCACTGACTGACCAGCCAACCCACTGACTGACTTAGAAGGGTGTCTAAGGGCCATAGTCTTAGGGGTTCCACCAGTCTCTATCAGACCAGTAAGTCTGCTCTTTTTATGATTTTGAATTTTGTTTACATTTTTCTCTCACTTTTTCCACGACCTTCTATCGTGGTCCTGATCAGAGTGGTAGGTAGTGGTAGCTGAGCATCATCTTGTTCTTCTGGTCTCAGGTTAGTGGAGGCTGTGGTTCGTGTGGTCCATTAGTCCTTTGCATTAATTATTTCCTTGAGTCTTTTATTTTCTTCACTTTTCTTTGCTCTGGACAGTGAGAGACCAATAGTTGTATCTTAGATGGCCACTCACAAGCTTTTAAGACCCTAGTCACTATTCACCAAAGTAGGATGTAGAACACTGCCTTTAGGGACTACGTTAGAAGATGTCCCCAGAGACTATGGTCTTAAGCCCTCAAGCCTAGTGACTCAGTCCCTCAAGGTGTTTGGTTATGGCTAAGATGTTTTCACACCTCTGTGCTCTGTGTTCTCTGCTATGTATGTGGATATATTTGTAGCATGTGCAAATACATATGTAAAATATCCTCTGCCAAACCTACATGTGCTTGTGGGTGTACTCACATGTGCCGTCCACACCTTCAGGCTTATAGCTCCACCTGTTCATTAACTTGTAAATTACTGTCTGTTACCATTGCTAAACCAGGCCAGGAGCTGATTGTGGAACAGACCATCAACTGCTCATATGCAAATTCAACTTGAAGTTAAAGACAATTAAAACAAGTCCAAG